CTGAACCCAGAGATATAACTACATAAATGTATTTTGTTTTTCTTGAAATATTTGTCATCAATATAATGCAATTGCCCTCTCTTCATATTTTTTTTATAAATTTTTCATTACTTCCCATTACTATATTTACAGTACATCTTTTATTCATATTTCATCAAAGTACATATAGACCCCACTTCCTGTGCCTTGTTATCACATAGAGCCAATGTACTATTTTATTAGTTATCAAAAGGATGCATGTTCAAATATTGAATAATATTATAGTTTAATATATAAAAGTAATCTTAAAGAAATAAGTAATTCATGATAAATATAGGATTTTTTAGAATAAAGTGACTTTTAGATATTGAAAAACAATTAATTTTACAAAAACAATACGGATTAAAACTAGAATTAATAATCATGTATGTAATTACATAATTATTGCTGGTAATATGTGCTGATAACTTATTACCTAGCATATTTACTACATATATGCAAGGTAATAAGTTATTAAGTATATGCAAGGCTTTCAAAATATTCTACATCAATCAAAGAATTAATGAAGCAGGCCAACAAATTTGTAAATAAAATAACATAATTACATGATAATAATTATATCATAATTAACTGATCAATTTTGAATTAACTAAATTAATGTAACTCTTGTTACAATTCTGTAGTGTAAAATTTTCATTTTTTCGTCTCCCTGGTTGTTTTTGTTTTTTTCTTGCCATTTAAATTGCCTACTCGGATTTTAAAAATATATTTTAATAATTTTAGGGAAATAATAAGCTAAATAAAGCTATGGGAAATAATAAGCTAATGAAATATTTTTTTTCACTTTAGAGCAATGTCGTTTAGTACAGAAATTCATTTTATGTTATGACGAAACAAAATTAACTATTTTAATACTTTTTTTTAATTTCAACTAATAAATCGTTTTTTACCTTTTTACGTCATTTTTACTGCATTTTATGCCAATTTCGTAGATTTTAGTAACATTTTAATGGTACTTGCTTCAAACAATATTTACGATGCGCAAAAAAACGTTCACCCCAGAATTCCTGACTAGCTTATTCGATTTCTTCGCTTATAAATTGTAATGTCAGCTGTTGTCAGTACTATGCAATCTAAGGTTCCTGCAATGTTTATCGGCGCCATTGTGAGCTCGGTCGATTTCGCGATATATAAAGGTAGAGTTTTTCTTTTAAAGGACAGTCCAAACCAGAAGTCTGCAAGTTGAGTTTACTTTAACAAAAGGGAGAAGCCTCGATTACTTTAGTAACATATCTAACAGCTTGAGTTGTTCATCTGAAGTGGTTTTGATAAAATTTTATGCGTCATTTTTCTTTGTTTTTAGTGTATTTTTAAAGCATTTAAAAAGCATTTTATTGATCATTTTTGGCAATGGTTATATGTTATCAAAATCCGCCCCTAGTAATACCACTTCTCAAAAATTCCTATAAATATAAAATATCCATTTTATAATTTTCCATATATTGGTACTAAAATGTTAAATTTTACTGTTCACTCGGAATTTGAAAAATGAAATTTTTAATACCTGTCTCTGGATGAATTTTTGATTATGTTCGATTTCATACATGGTGATATTGATAAAATATTCACATGTTATTTATTTATACAAATATTTTCTTTTGATTAAGCATTAATTTTTATTGACGTTGTTTCATTATTTAATTACATATATAATAAAGACAAGTTGTAAGTTTCTAGTGGCCATGAGACAGTTTATCTCAAACAAAGCACCACATTTTTGTTGACACAGACGTTTTTCCTGCAGTTATAAGTTTCAATTCACAATCAAAATGTTAATACATGCAATATAAACATTTTGTGTAATTATTTGTAATATTTGCATTAATAAATAAAATACATGTATTTATAAATGAATTACACATTTCTTTGTGTTTTTTTAAATTTAAACAACATCAGAAGCAATTGTTAAAAGAAAAATATTTTACTAATGGCTATTTGTCTGTATAGTCAATACTGATAGTTTAAAAAAAAAGAAAAGCTATAGCTCTTACTCCACGTGCACTGCAAGACAGTCATGTTCTTCATGCACAGCGTCCTGAAGCAGTGGGCCATTTTAGCCGAAATCGAGTGCAGTGTCAGGTCAGTAAAGTTAGAATAGTCAATATTTCAAAAAATTGAAATTAAACTTAACAGTAGTCACATTTCTGTTGCTAATTTCTTACTCAAAAATCGTGTCGCTCTTCCTTAACCCAGTGTATATGTTACATTTTTGTTGCTCAAAATTTCCCAAAAAATACATTTTGTTGCTCTTTTAATAATACGATGCGATTTTTCGCTAACTTAATGTCAAGTTAGCATGACAATTACAAGAAAAGTAAGAAATTACAGAAGTAAATTAAATAAGGAATTACAGAAGTAAAATAAAAAGGAATTTGTCGCTTTTTGGGGGCTCAATAAGATTTGGATGTAGATTTATTTAGTAAAAGAAAACGTAAAAACTCTGATGTATGGGGGAGAAGATTATTAAGTCCAAAAAAGACATTTTCTTGCTCTTCAACTAATATTAAACTGTATTAGAGTAAACCTGAGGATTTGAAAGAAAAAATTAACAAAAATTATGTAATAAGATATAATAATTTGAATAAAATACCCTACGTTATGCTCGATAAAACAAACTACCCTTCAGTAAAAATGTGTCGAAATAGGTTTAGCAATTGTAAGTTTACTCAGCCAAACAAAATCGTAAAAACAATTGATTTGTTTACGATTGATGATTTACGAACCCGTTACTGAGTGGCCATTGTGTCCCTCTGGAATATGTTCACAAAGTATGGCTACTAGACAACCGAGCGATGTGGAAGCTTTACCCGGACAAATAGTGAAAACCCGCAAAACGAAAGTACTCTCAGATTTCGAGATGTAGACAGAAGACCATTTCATAACTTACCATTGTTGAAGAGAAGCAGGTATGGATAAAGAAGGGAGTTCCTCCAGCAGATTCCAAGGTGGATGAGAAGTAAATCGAAAAAAATCTTGATCGTCAAATAGAGCTGGAGAGAGTATGGCAACCGAGGGTCACTTTTGGCAGGCAATAGTTGGAGCTCTAAAGACTACAGAGGCACATTTGCACCCAATAACTTGACGCGGTTCTAACGTACTCTAAATGCTCGGATTTCTGGGCACCGCTCAAATCCACCGTGGTACTCCCTCTAGACTCCCGAGGCCCTGGGTAGGATTTGTCGATCGAAGTAACGATCCTTCGTCAACACGGGAAGTGAATTGCTTTTCATGGCTCGATCGCAATAGTGGAAAATATCTTTGACCCATAACATGTGAAGCTGTCTATTAAATTTTCTAACGTGAAAGTTGGAAGTAAAGTTATTTTTAATATTATTGTTATTGTTATTATTATTATTATATAATTTCCATGTTAGCTGTATTCTCTTATTTTCGTAATTATGCCCATTTGCAGTTCAAATAAATTTATTCAACCTAAATGCAATAATTGCACTCTCAAGTAAACACTGTTATAAAATCAAGATACTTTCAATACATTTTTTATTTTACTCTCAGTTGACAATTTGATATCTGAAAGGATATTATTACATATTAATGGGCCTTTCCTTCAGTTAAGCAGAGGAATTGTAAATTAATATCTCTAAATTTAGGGCAGAAATAACAACTGACTTCTCCAAAAATACTGCCTTAGACCAGGTGCCGTAGAATCGGTCATGTATCGCCAATCTGTAGCAATTTGCGATTCAAATTGGCTGTGGACTCAGTTCTTTTAACAGGCAGAATTTTTGTCTCTTAAACTTCCTAACATGAATGTAGAAAGTAAACACAATGATTGCAGTCTTAAGTAAACCTTGAGAAACTCGTGCCATATGAAAGAAAGACGATAAATTCCAAACTTAGGTTTTCTGATCCTTAGCCCACTATTCCCCAACTACAGTTATATGTCCAAGAAACGTACTTGTAAATATTTTTTTTGAGAACACTGGTTTCTGGACGTAAATGTAGCTTCACTATGCGCACGTTTTGTTGAACTCTGCTTTTGCTTGTAACGGTAAGAGTAGAGGTAAGGGCGAGTTGCTATTTTGTTAGCAATGCAGAAAAATCTTACTTGCATTTCGTGGACCGATGCAAATACGTTTTCTATAACTCGGAAACAAAAATGACTATTTTTTAAATTTTGCTAATCTTGCAATTTTAATTTTTTTTATTTATGTTAAAATTTGACTCATCTTTCAACTAAATGACGGGATTCGGGAACTCAAAAAAATAATCTTTTCCCCCTACGTCACACACAGTTTTTACTGAATAGTTTTTTTTGACTGAATAAATCTAAATTTAAACCCAAATTACTATGTGCTTAATTTGTAGACTAGCATTTATACAAGGAACATATCAAATCGTCACTTGCTTTGTTGAAAATGTACTGCTTAGAACAAAGCATCTTGCGCTACATTTTTAAAAACAATTAATTAGACACGAAACAATCGCCATGTACTACATTTTCAGACACCTGCTCGTGAGGATTTCGGCCGTCCTGTTGTTCCTGTTCGCTCTGAACCTCGCGTACGACATCCAGATGGTGCTAGGAGGTCAGCGTCACCGACGGAAGCCTGGCGAGTACGTCCAGGGGGCCCTGTATCTCTCGTGTGCCTCCTCTTACAAATCTCCTACCCCGCCGGCAGCACTCGAACGCCACCCCTCCCGGAAGTGCAAGTGGAGAACACGACAGCTGACTTGCAGACACGGCAGCGACAGCTGCAACTTACAGACACAGCAGCGACTTACAGACTTACAGACATAGCAGCGACAGCTGAATTATAGACAAGGAGCATAGGAATAAACAGAACGTCTAGGCAAATTATGTGAAATATTTTTCCTTACATTTTTTATTTCTTGTTACTCAGTCTTATTTTAAGACACATTTACTAAATGACCATCCAATGACAATTTTTAAAGATTTACTCAATTAACTAATGTTTATATTCAGCAAACTGTACATTTGCATGTATGATTCATGTACGAAGCATGTACGATTAAAATCAATGAAAAATTGACATACAATTGAGGATTGACATACAATTGAAATAAAGAGAGTATTTGCACAATTATTTCAATTCGCTTTCATCTTATGGCGCAATTCAATAAAAACAGTACACAAGGAAAACCTAGGGGGAGTGATATTAAAATGTACTTCAATTTCGTCATTTTGAAAACACATGAAATGCTTAACACCACAGAAAATGATTTTTTGTGCTGATGAGTATAAAATAAATTATAACAAGAGCTAGAAATTTTTGGTGCAAAATTCTGAGGAGAAAGGTGCAAGAAGGAGGTTGAAATAAGCAGGAAAAATTTCAATTGTTTTTATACAAAGGTGCAAACTTTAAATGTAAATATTCATGCAAACGGTACAAAACAAATTATCTCACTTATAAGAACACACATTTCCATGAAAAGGAAGTTACAATAACAACTGATGCGTATTTAGTTGCTTATGAGACAACTGGAGTAAAATAAAAAAAGCCATAAACACTTGGTACGCCAAAACTATTGGATTCTAGCATGAGCTGTTCAACTATTGATATCCATTTTAAAATTTCTAATAAGACAATTGGTTGAATGACAGGAAATAAAACCCGTATACGATATTTTTCGGTAGACGTCACAACACTCAGAGCGATTTGTTAGACATTTAAATGTCATTGCCACAGTGATAATTATATTGAAGTATTTCATTTTCTAGTTCGTGTAATCTCTTAAGAAATGTTTGTTCACTGACAACTATTGTACATGTTTTTTGTATTAATGTGGGGAAATGTGCAAATGATCTCGCTTGCCCAGGTGACACTGCGTCACCGGGCCGTCACTCTTCGATGTGGCATTACCCGGAGAGACAAGATCATTTGCATGACCCTGGTCGCGCAAAATGTGTGTTTATACGGTAGCTTTGCTACGCTCTTTCCTGGCCACTGTATTTTGTTTTACTTAACAGCAGGGCGCAATTGTAAATATGTTTTGGTTATTACTAATTAATTATTATATTATTTTCAAGTTCGGGAATAACAGACTTCGTGTGTGTGCTGGAATGGCATACAGCAGGTTTCCAGTTTTCTTATAATGAAAATAGGTAACAATTAATTCGAAAATGTGATAAACATTAAGAATTAATTATTAGATATTTTTATCCCGTTATACTGACGTGGCAATTTGAGATCCATACAAGGAAATTCCCAAAATTTTCATTCTCTTTCGTTTGACTATCTTGAGAACACTTTCGTCTATCACTTTGAGACTTGTTACTTCAGAAACTAGTGCTGGTTAGGTTCATGTTGTGCGCTTAATTGCCGTTTTCAAATGAAAATACTGAGCATGAATCTTTGAAACGACGTTTTCAGCTTAACTCCAACAAGATGTTGCAGTACATTGTGTAAGTCGAAACTACCACCACTTCCTATAACACATAACTTAAACTAAATTATGCATTTAGTTCTATGAAATTCAAACTGTCGAGTCGTCGCTTTGCCACTATTGTACTGTGATCGGAAACGAAATCAGCAGAGGTTACCATTACAAGAAAACTACTAATATACTTGTTTGTTTTTTTAAGCTACATTGCATTCTATCTCGTTTTATATGTAACGGATTCGTAATATTCGGATTATAAATTGCAAGTTGTTTTAAACTAACTTATCCGTAATCTCGATAAAACTCACTTGAGTAAAAGAAGCGCGGAATATGGAATTTCAATCTTGGAACATTTCCAATTTTTTTAAGTTTGCAGGTTGTAATTATAATCGGAGTTCGCGGCCAGTTACCGTCGAGTACAGTGGCGTCAGAGCGCGTCGCTCTTATATTCGCAAGTGAAAGTGTTGCGAGGTTGTAACTGAGTAGTGAAGTGGTTGTTACTTTCTCAGTGTATTATTGTTAAAATTAAACTACTGGGAGATATCAGCTAATAACATCATACCACGGATTCGTCTGACTACAGGGGAACCATAACCTACAACAACACCGAAAATCAACATGATCAAGTAAGGAAATCATATTCTAGTGCTACTTTATGAGACTTTTTCCCACGAAGTAACAAGCTGTAATATTAAAATCACAAGAGGGACTATATATCAATACACATATTAGTTGAGTTGCCTCGATTGTAAATGCTAATGACATAAGATGCATTGCTCGTATCACTAACAACAGAATGTTTATTCTTTGCCAATCAAGAGATTGCCGGTAAATTCACATACTCGTGAAACCACCACCAACTAGAAATAAAGGATCATAAGCTAGCAGTGAGACCATTTGTAAACATAACAGAGTAATTAAGAGTATATCAAATGTTTGTCGTATCATTCCCCATGAAATAATAAAGAAAGAATTTGGTAACAGAGAGATTATAAATATACCAAAATATTCTTTGTAAAAGCTGGCCTATCTGACTCTTTGTTTTCTCATGTTATGAGTTTTGGAAAACAAGTCTATGATGAATCTTGAAAAACTACCTTCTCTGCTTGTAGTCTATGAAAGTACATCACATAGAACATTATTTTCTACTGATAATATCTCTTGCTTCATCTGAAAATGATAAGGATCACATTGCAAACAAAGGATTATCAAAAACATTTAATAGTGATTCATTCAAAGATCATTCAGTAATCAAATCATCTAATAATGTAACAATTGAAAAGACACTAACATTACCTGAAGCTCATAATCAAAATGCAACCACAAATTTAACTAAATAGATCTTCCTATTCTGCAAACTAGAGCCTACCTTTTAGACTCATCTTCTCAAGAAATAACTAGTAATCAAATATTAGATAATAATAATATTAATAATAATAATAATAATAATAATAATAATAATAATAATAATAATAATAATAATAAATATCAAAAATCTCCACCAATAAAAAAAGAAAACAGGAAACAATATATAATGTAAAACCACAAAAAACACAAATATTAAAAAAGCAGAATAAATTAATTACACCAACTAAATGTGCTATTGAAATTAAACCAGATAAATTTCTCTTAAATTCAATTCTTAATGGTTTTAGAAAATTGTTTTGGTTCCAATGATCTGGTAATTGTAGCTAAATATTTTACAAATGACTTTCAAACATTAATGCAAATGATGATAGATTCTCTCTTCTTGAGGAAAAAGCTCTGAAGTATAGATTTTCAGAATAATAGGCTGACTTTAAAAAAAGCAACTGTACAATTAAAAGATACACGTACAGACACTCCAGAAGAAGACACCTGTATCACCTATCACCAAAAATCTCTATCTTTTGATTTCTAGTTTTGAAATTAACATCTTGCAATTTTCGAGAAACCGATCAATACCCGAATATTCTACTAGCACCATAGTTTTTACCATATATTATTGTATATATGGAGAAAATTTAAAGAAAAATTTGGAGCCGTTTTGGAAAAAAATAATTTCTTTTGAAATGTACCTATACTTCGGGCAAAGTTAAACGAAAACTAATCGTATATTTGAAAAGTTGAATATGACCTTATTTCAAGATCTGCTTTAAAGAATTAGCCTACTTTTAGGAAAGATATGTATCTTCATTATTATAGTTGTAGGAAGTCGAAAAAGTTTGAATTTTTGTAATTTCCAAAAAATTAGTACTAACAACGAAAGTAAAACCTGCACCATTCTCTTAAGTGTTCATTGCCTATCCGAGGACAAAGTTTAAAAAAAATGTGTTGACATTTTTGAAAATGTCCGAGGGGTTTGATGTAAAGTAGCACCGAAAATTAAAATATCGGTTTTCAGTTCCAGGGACCGCAACGTAAGTCAGTACTCAAATGTCCAAAATATTGTACATTAACCTCCTTCAAAATGTCTTTAAGGAAGAGATCTCATTAAGGGAAAAAATGTCTCTTCAATGTTTTAGTTGTGATATTAATTTTTGAAAATTTTGAAAGTGTCTCAAGAGCTTCATGTAAAGTACACACGAAAATTAAAATATCGATTTTAAATTCAAGGGGCCGAGACATCTGCCAGATTGATTGTGGAATATAAATTTTGGAGAAAATCAGAACGGTTTAACAGCTCGAGTTGTTCGCGGACGGACAGATGCACGGACAGAACGTTGCGTCGTCATTCGATTATTTAGATTTAGAAAAACAAAACAAAAAAATACAAGTAAAAACTATAAATGAGGCAGGGTGAAGAAGATTATTTACGCACGTTTTCTGTAGTTCCAGAATCCTTCCCGTCATTTTAACTATAAATAGTTGAAATATGAGTAAAAGTTTAACATAAATAAAAATAAATTTTAAAAATCGCAGGATTAGCAATATTTGAAAAATAGTCATTTTTGTTTCCGAGTTATAAAAAACGTATTTGCATCGGTACATGAATTACAAGTATGATTTTTCTGCGTTGCTAACAAAATAGCAACTCACCCTTACCTGTTCTCTTACCATTACAAGTCAAAGGAGAGTTCAACAAAACGTGCGCATTGTGAAGCTACATTTACATCCAGAAGCAAAACAAGGGACCATCCCAGCATTTTCTCAATGGATCATTATTCAATATCAAGGGCACACAAAACATGGAATTCTGGCTACACTACCTGTTAGAGGATTTTTTCCAAAATTAGCAACTGTATTTATCCACTATATCGTTACCAGAGCCCGGCATTAAGAATTTTTTTCCAGCAACATTACAAAACTTTTTCTGCACTGCGTAAGCGATAGAGAGCAAGTGAGAAGCGAAATATGTAGAGGGTGTTTCTTATGTAGCTATGCTAACCTTACAGGGCTGGCAATAACAACGTGTTTACTTCCGCAGCGCCCTGTAACTTTGAAGGCGTGTGCCGGCGGCGGCCATCCGGGCCAGTGGGGCAGCGCTGGACGACCCAAGCCCCGAAGCCACTGCGATTCCTCTCCTAAGCCCTGCCCCACCGCCAGCGCCCTGCCAGCCCTGACCCCAGGAGAGAGTCGGTCCTTCACGGCCGCCAACGTAGGGTAGCTCAAGCTGGGCATCCACGAGCAAGGCTCGCTTGCCACGCGCCGCCGGCCGGTTGTAAATCTGTGGCCAGTGCTGTTAGACGCGCACGTTTTCATAAGCCTCGGAATACCTACCGCCTCTCCTTTACTAATATTAGTTGAATTGAAAATAAATGATAGCTACGAAAGTTGGTGACAATATCCGATGAGCAGAAATAGTACCACTACAGTCGACTCAGAATTTTTTAACTGTCTGGACCAGTAATTCCCATCTTGGCAATCTTGACACGTATATCCTTCGCATACATCGCGCTGCGAATTCGGATACATAGCGCCGTGAATATCGTGAGATATTCTGTCTCGTATTTTTATCAAACAAACGAACCGTGTACTTCTTTTCCAATAAATTTGAGTGTTTTCGCCAATGAGTTTTATTTCTACAAAAAATTTTGACGGGCGCGGTGGCGACGGCGGGCTACGCCTGTAGCGAGACGGACGGCACGGACGGAAACGGGCAACGGAACGCCGACGGACGCGCAACGCGCACGCGAAGCCGACCGGAACGGGACGCTTGTTCGATGAAATCATTGAATTTTCGGTGACAAGGGCCCCAAAAACCTGCATTCTGGCTTCGCCACGTAATGGGGGATTTTGTTCTTCTAAATTTAGCAACTGGATTTATTCACTTTTTCGTTACCAGGACCCTGCAATAAGAGCTATTCTGCCGAAAATCCGCCGTTTTTTCGCGCAACATTTCATAACTTTCTCTCTACTCCGTACCGAGAAAGTAAAATTGTTTCCCTGAAGAACATGATAAATGAAGAGGTCAATGTGGCCACGTTAGTTGTGATAAATCGGTCCAGACGTTTGTTCCACAAACCCTCTTCTTGAGGCTGTTCAGGATAATCATGAAGGTTGAGAAGTACATGAACATACCTCCTCAGTGATAAGTCGCTCTCCCAATGCCCATTCGAATTCCGTCCCGGCCTGACGAGACCTCTACCTGACAAATGAGGAAGCTCATTCCTCACAAAAGTTCTTGGAGAGCCTACAGTGTAGGCAACCTTTCGTACACGTATGTTCAACAGGTTGCCATTTCAGGACTTTACCACCTTTCAATTTCTTCAGAAGAAATGTACGTTACTGAATTTACTACCAAAATTTATGTTTTTACTTATTTCTTGTCTATTATTTTAATCCATAAAAATCAACTTGTTTTAATTTCTGGTTAACAGTACCGTGCCGTTCTCTACTATTCTCACAATTGGTAATCTTGGATATAATTAGTGCTCATTGAATTTAAAGTTATGTAATTTTCTTATCTTCAACACAAACATTTCTGCACAATTTCTGCAAGCTTAATGATTATAAAACCACCTTAAATCTTCCTTTCTTATTATCTCATCAGTAGCATTGTGTTCAAGAAATAATTCGCTTTATTAATCTTTAAGGATTTTTAATAAACTTTTGAACTCATTTCTTGGTACCTGTGTTTTCGAAATCAGAAGGAAACTTAGTTTGTACTCGAGGGTTGTCTGAAAAGTCGTTTCATCCTACCATTCAATAAATATCACTTTTTGTCAGTACTAAATAATTGTAACAATTCTACATTCATACGAGTTTGTTTTTTTTATTCAGACGTCATTGGCAAGGTGATTATTTTAGAAATTCATTATACTTGTGATTAGAAGATTAAAAAATTGATTTTTAGAATCATAATATTTAGTGTCTTAAGTCGCCGGTGCTAATTATATTTATTATTCTCTTTTTTCAACCTATTTATGCCTAAAACTTCTCATCGCGGCAAATTGTCGTTCAATGCTGGACGGTATGGAGAAGTGAAAGACTGAGGGGTGTAATCAAAGATTTTATTTAATCACTTTTCTACAAAGTTGCAACAAATACAGCGGAAATTATGAATTTACAAAAATAAGCTGAAATGCGCTTAATGGAAATCAAGCTTTATTTATGCATAATGCTGTACTACACTGAAAAATGGGATGTGAATCAAGTCAGCAATAATATCTTCATTTTTTTACTGTCGAATGTTTCTTAAGTGTGGTAATTGTTTAGATGAAGTTTGCGTTCTATGACGTGAATCACTGTCGTTCTTTAGTTAATGCGAGGTAAAGTCTGCAAACCATATTATTGAAAGTAGTGAGCAACTAAATGTTTACTATTCTCTTATTTATTTTTCAATAATTTACTTCTATCTAAAGAAGTAATTGATTATTTAAACATTTGAAACGTTTCTACTCATAACAGCAGTACAAATGAGATTGCTTGTTTCAAAGATCAAAGTGAAGTCATTGTAATCGTATTTTTCTTCTAGGAGGTATTCATTTCGAAATGTTGAAGATCAAGAAGAAAATAACCTTTTTAGACAGACATTAGTGAAAACAGTTCTTTCATGACATGCGTTCAATTTTAGTACTAATGTGACTAAAAGGACTTTGAGTAGTGAAGTGGCTAGTAATTTAATAGCTATAAGTGAATCGATGATCAAGTATTCAGATAAATGTATGAATGCATCAACGGAAATAAAATAATTTTGTCTGACCGCATCAACTACTTGCGACCTTAATGTATCATTAAGTGATTTGCATATTTGAATAAGTATAAAATGAAATTCAGTAAGGCTGTCTAAAAAATAACTCACGAGTTAAAAGGCATTTCATTTTCCTCGTAAGTTTGCGCCTTTCCTACTAGAAAAATGAAATATCACACTTACTACCCACATCATACAAAAACTATTTTTTCGAGCAATTGCGAAACAATGAATTATTATGCATGGTAATAAGGAACACTTAGTGTTTTGCATTGCCTTCCAAGTCACGTTTACAAAGAAGAACCCTCCATTCCTTAAACGTCATTCGAACCTACCGTACGCGGATTGCCGCCGCCCGCAAGTGCCATCAATAGCATAGCATCACTCGTTATAATACCTCGCTTCCATTCCAAGCGAGTAGTCCATCGCAACCCGTCCGCGGCTGCGTCGAGACGGCGTGCGGGCAGCGGCGCGGCCATTGGCTGGCCGGGGCAGCCGGATCCGGAAGCGGCGCGCGAAAGCGGCGCGGGGAAGCCCTCGGCGAAAGCGCGGGCGCTGGCTGCGAGGGGCGGCCGTGACTCACTGCGCGGAATCCCGCCCCGCGGCGCTTCCGTAAACGTTGCTCCACCCGCACCCACACACCCTCCCACGCGCGCCCTTGGTGCACTGTTCGTCGCACGAGCTTCTTCACTGTAGAAAGATTCTTCAGTCATAACCCAGGTTTGAGAGGGTGAATTGATTAAATAAATATAAATATAAATATATATAAATAGATAAATAAATAAATAAATAAATAAATAAATAAATAAATAAATAAATAAATAAATAAATAAATACAGAGGTGGTACAGAGACTTCGAGCACCACCCAAATGAAGAGTTTATTTCCAAAGTATTTTCAAGAAACACAATTGTTCAGAAAGAGAAAGAATGCACATTCCTCCTTATAATTCAAGATAGCATTCAACAGTTTTCGGGTACCGTATAACATAGAAGATATGCAATATTTTCACACAATATCCGGCAGTATTGTAGAGAATCGTCTTAAGAATATTTTGATAAGTAAAACTAGAAATTAAAAGAATGAAAATACATCACTTTGGAAAAACATCACTTTGTATTGCTGCTTTCGACACTTTACTTGAATATTTATGACTTGGTTCATCAGATGGACGTTTATTAAACCTAATTTTGTAATAAAAATACAATTTTTTAGAAGTATTTTTATTGACAGTTTTTCGTGCAACTTTCTATGCTCTAGGATGAAGGAGTCAGACAACTGCATTATGTTTCAAATTGTTGTATTACAAACTTGCGTAGAACACTTTAAAAATGTAACATGAAAAAGACCACGGAAGACGTTGCCTGCAGCTTGGTAATCAGTACACCTCTAACCATCTTTAACCAGAGGCTACCAAACCTCTGTTTAAAGGTGGCTGTGCACGTACACCTCCTGAAAGGGATGCAAATGCTCTGCTCTCTAGCGTGAATGCCTTTGGAAAGCGAGACTCTTACTACACAACGCAGGCAGGTGCTCAATGTAAACCCTTTGACTTCAGAGGCCTCTCTTTGAAGATTTCCCTCTTCACACCGCTTCACGGTCAGCACTTAATGTCTTTACTCGGAAAATTAATGCGTTTCGGCTGTAAAGAAGTCAGGTCTCTAATGAATGAAAGAGAATGTAAAGGAGCTGACGTCAAGAAGACATGCATATATCCTGGAGATCAAATGGACGAAAATGAATTAATTTAGAATTTCCTTTTTGTTGTCATTCGGGACTAGAGCTGAGAAATATAACGACCATTAAACGAAATTTAATATAAACTAATTATATAAAAAATACATTACTTTATTACACTACTTGCAAATTATATTGTAAATGATAAGTATTAAGTTTTCGAAATGAGAACGTTCTTTCATTACCATGCTCTACACGTTTCGCGTAAAATGTACTTTTGCTAATCCGCGTTCTACACTTTTTTTAATAGCGTCTTTCACACCGTACTTCCTTAAGAACTTCAGCAAAATTACATTGCATATTGATGTAGATGTAATCTCAATTATTTCTCGTGGCCACGAAAAAGGCCTGAGAGTACATCTTCATTAATGTGCAATGGTAATTAAAAAGAAAAGAATGGGATGGGGAAAAGGAAGAAAATAAAGTGTTCTGAAAATAAGCAGTGGAAAGAGATTCTAATAAGAGATTTTGATTAGCAGTTGAGTACTGGATCTCTGGCTACAAAATCAGTTGAGTACCACTGTTTCCCAACAATTCAAAACATTAACTGTTGATTCACTGATTCATTCGTACATTCTTTTTTATGGCCATTTCTCCCTTAATTGTTATAAACGTTATATCCATAGAGGCGGCGCGATGTTCTTCCCCGCTTCTATCACGATCCGCTGAAACGTGATATCCTATGCTGACCTACGCATCAGTTACCAAAAGTTCCCTCTCCTCGTATCTCCGTCACTG